TCAAAATACCGGACAGAACCCTTTGTACGAACAAAAGTAAGAGAAATTTAGGATAAAAATACGAACATGTTTTTGCATGAGGCCCATTGTTCTCTTTGAAATCAGCTCCGGTGTGGTTTTAACTTTTAGCTGTTCTGTTAGTTCAGCTTTGAGTTTTGCTTCTTTTGGCTTTTAGTTAGAATTCTGCTAAAAAAAAAGTATTAAAGCTATAGCTGAAAGTTAACAAAACTATAACGGAAAGGTAAAAAACAGAGCAGATCTGTTGCTCAAATGTAAAAACAGCAAAACCATAGCTCAATGTTAAAAATAGCAAAGCCATAGCTAAAAGCTAAATGTAGCAAAATGGTAACCTAGAGAAAAATGGTAAAATAGTAGCTAAACAGATACAATGAAGCAGGAATGCTGAATGATGAGATGATGAAAGCTGAATGATTTCAAAGACCATGAAGGCTGTTCAAGAACTGGAAAAGTTCTGTTTCCCTAAAGGAGAAAAAAGTAGATCTTCTTTCGACTTTCAAAATATTTAAAATTTACTAAAATTAAATGTCATAGCCAAAATCTCCTGAAAAAGCTGAACATTTACCTGTATGAATTTAACCACTCATATAGCTGAAAGTATGCTGAAGTAGTTAGGAGTTCAAAAGTGTGCAAAAAAAACAAGGAACCCTGAACAGGACCGATGATTCACTAAGTAACTCTCCTGTCATCTTGACCCAAGGAAAACACAAGGGTTAACAATACAAATGTGTGCATGCTGTGGAAATTTACTTAGACATTGTTGTAGATTCTGGTAGAAGTAAGAAACTTTATCTTCTGCAGCTAATGAAAAAAAATACAGCTCGACTAGACATAAATATTGTTTACGTTTTCTGTGACCGGGTTTCTGTTCTTTCAGAGAAAAATCTTCATTCCTCATCTTAAACCATCCTTCAAAACCCCGCACTGTCTCCTGTAACTTTCCCCGCAGGGCTCATGGCGTTCAGGAAAGTCTTGAGACGGACGGCATTCGTAGGAGGTGGAGCCGTCGCAGCTGCGTTTGGACTGTCGCAGCTGAAGGAGTACCGCAGGGCACAGGTGAGCTCACTTTAGGCATTCATTTAGAGTTTGGCACGTTAGGTGGAAACCATTTATTTCACAATCTTTTGTCCCAGGCAGGACTGAAGCAGCTTCAGGAATGTTATTGCGTGCAGCTGAAAGGCAAAGGTGGATGGTAATGTTTTTGCCCATGTCTGTTTAGTGTGTGTTTAAGACCCTCTCACACTATAACGTTTTAGACAACTCATGCCAACTTATGAAAACTTTGTCAAACATTGAAGAGCTGAAGATGGAATTAAAAAAAATCTACTGACTCTTTTGGACACATACATGAAGTGTATCAATCAACAACTGAATAACAGTAGGAGTCCACCCACTTCAAGATGGCTGCCACAACGGCAACAACACAAAAAGATTAGCTGTGAGTAGGGATGGGTACCTTTGACATCTGAATCGATTCGGTACCAATATCCAATACCTGGGAATCGGTACCGGTACTTAACGGTACCAATTTTCAGTACTTTGTGTGTGTTGTTTTTTTAATAGTAAACTTTTTTTATTTAACATATTTCTCAATATATAAAATTAACAAATAGCAAGACAACATCCAACTCTTTGTATTGTAACATCAGTTGTGTAATTTATTTCTTTATGGTGAAAACTGTTGA